GGAAAGTTATGTGTTTAATAAATTGACTCCTCTGTGTCCTATCTGTATCAACACAGATCCACCAACTGTCAGATACTAATGCATTATATATACTAAGCAGCAAAACGGATACCTGTAAACTCATTTAATGTTTTGATTGTATATTTTTGACAATATCTCCGACTTTACCTGAGCAAGGACATTTCTTCCCAAACTCAGAATGGAACCCAGCAAATGGTCTCAAAAACGCAACCTGATCTCGGAGATGGTACGGTGTTCTCCTTGTTTTTCATGCAACTCATGCTGCACGTGCTGTTCACAAGGACCAGCCCTACAAAATGCACCCCCAAACCTGGTTGAAACAGTCACATTACAACGTCAGCAGGATGCCGTGACTCATGACTACTCAGAGGAACCAGGTGCTAGGAAGACTTGAAGCTGGCCACACTGCACAAGCCGTTGCCAGTCACTTCCAGGTCAACGATTGGACCATCTACAGGCTGCAGGAACGTTTCCGGGCGACCAACACCACAAATGATGCCCCCGTACTGGCAGACCAAGGGTGACCACAAGACGACAAGACCGCCATGTTGTGCGACAGCATGTACAGAATCCCTTCGTGCAGGCATCCGAAACAGCACGCCAGACAGTGGGAACACACGGAAGACCAATCAGTACTGATACAGTACGTCGACCTCTTAACAGCGGGAACCTCCATTGCCGTAGGCCTTACCGTGGACCTATCCTCATCCCTCGTCATCGGCGTGAATGTCTACAGTTTGCCCTACAACACCAAAACTGGCAATACAGGCAATTGAGAACTGTTCTGTTCACAGATGAGAGTCTGTACTGCTTATCAACTGCAGATGGCAGAACAAGAATATGGTGACGACGTGGCCAGTGTTACTCAGACCAATGTGTTATAGAAAGAGACTCATGGGGAGGTGCAAGCATCATGATATGGGGTGGAATAGGCCTGAACCAGAGAGTGGGTCCTGTGGTGTTCCAGAACCTTGGTCCAGGGAGAGGAGGCGGCATCACAGCAGTGCGCTACATCAACCAAGCTCTCAGACCCCACGTCATACCACATTTGGCACATCACCGGAACAAGATTTTCCAGCATGATAACGCCCGGGCCCATACTGCCAGAGCTACACGGGACTTCCTACAGCACAAAGGGCGGTGGGGTAGCCTGGGTTAAAGCGTTGGCTTGTCACGCTGAAGACCGGGTTCGAATCCCCACATGGGTACAATGAGTGAAGCCCATTTCTGGTGTCCCCCGCCGTGATGTTGCTGGAATATTGCTAAAAGCGGCGTAAAACCAAACTCAGTCAGTCAGTCAGTCCTACAGCACAACGGTTTCAACATTATGCAGTGGCTAGCCCTTAGTCCTGATTTAAACCCAATTGAACATCTTTGGGATGAAATTCAGAGGAGACTGAATAATGTCATACCAAGGCCGAACACAGCCGATTTATTGTGCCAGGCCTTTCTCAGAGTGTGGTTCCAGGTGCCTATAGCCTTCATCAATTGATTGGTGCACTCCATGCATAGACGCTGTGCTGCAGTTATTGCCACTCGTGGTGGTCACACTAGATACTGAAGTCAATACTGACGTTTTTTTTGCTGCTGAGTATATGTTGCAATATGACTGAAGTAATGCTGATGTGGCATAAAATCTCAACTCAACCACTTACTCACTAATGCATTATATGAGTGTTATTTATGAGTTCTGATCCTTTCATTAATGCTTAATTCTAAATGTAACATATGCGTAAGTAATGTTTTGTGCCTTATAATTATTTGATAGAATTGTTATATAATAATTTTTAAGATTGTAATCAAGGTTTGCCTTCAGTGTTAAAAGTGCATTGATGAGTATTGGCTTAATACTTGACATGATTAAGAAAAAACTATTTCTGTTATTTTAAAGTCATAATCCAATGTGGGATTCTGTAAAGATCAGAATCTAGGTAGATACAAGTTGTATCATGTGTGTAGACAATTTAGTGTTCAAGGTCATGTGAGATATACAGTTCATGCAGTGTATGTGTGTGCTGTTATTATGGTAATCACACATTGTTTTGGGACTTTCCAAACATACAATACTGTTTGAACAAACAGTGTGAAAAATATCCAGTGTGTGTCAGTTATTCAAAGGTATTCTCCCTGACCTGACATAAAGAAGAAAGATCGGCCTATTTGGACACTTGCCATGTACAGGGAGTCAGTTCAATCTCCACACTAATATTTATTACATGTTCATATGAGAAAAAGGGATATTATACAACTTATGCGACCTAATAGGAAATTTGAACATGTTTTGAGATGGCACAGAAATTCTTACACCTGTCACTTGAAAACTGTTGCTCAAGCTCTAAAGCTGTTAGAAGATTCTGAATGCATTGAATTCATATGCATGTTCTGCCTCAAAATCTATTCAAGGTATTATACCTGTTGTATGGCTGTACCACAGTGGTACTGCTACTTTAATTCAAATCATTATCATTTCCTCAATATTTCCTATACCAAGAAAACAAGGTAAACAATTAAGACCTGAATTTTTTCTGAGAAGTCACAAGTTACTGCATGAGATATAAACATTACAACTCTGATTGTGATTTTAAGACATTGTTGAAAGCTATATAATATTTGTATTTATCTTTTATTTGATAAGAAGATAACGAGCGAGATAGTGTTGTTTTGATAAAGTAAAAACTCCAGTAATCGGAACCCCAACTTTCCCTCTATCTAAAGGCTGGTCGTGACATTGCAGTCATGTTTGTTAACGCCTCTCATGCTACACAGTTAGTCATGGGTGACCAAGCCCTAATTAATTAATCATGCTTATGTTATCTGCTCTAAGGCACACATTATTGACCCTTTGATATCGGATTATGTTGGAAAGACTGTGGTTTGCTGGCGTTTTGTACTTCCGAACTCAATCCCAGAAATGGATATTTCAGCTTTTCAGAATGTGGTCAGTTGGAATTGATTTATCCAAGGTGAAACTAAGGTAGGGTAATAGTAACAGCATGTTAAGAAATCTGTTATTTTGATCACATCGTTCATCAACACTTATGTTTGTAACTTTATTTTGAAAATAAGAGTAATTGTTGCAGACGTTCATTATTTGTTTTGCTATGGCTAGTAGTTGTGTTTAAATATTCTTAGTCCATCAGAACTAAGTTTTGATGAAAATATTTACAAATCTTATACTATGTATTCAGGAATGTAAATGTGTCTAATTAGCTGCTATCTGTCAGAAGGAGATGTGTGCTAATGACCCAATTCATAGACATCTGGCTTAAATGCATCTCAGATATTTGCGCAGGATAAGACACATTATATATCATTCTCTTGTATGACACACCTGTGGAAATTTAAAGCATGAGATGTTCTATTTCTTCTAAGCCAGTATTTTCTATCATTTACCGTAATGCTGCTTAAGCAATGAATTGTTGAAAAGTTGATTTAGCTTCCTTTTTTCTCAATCATAGCAACACTTTTCCTCATAAGCAGGGCAGCTGTAGGATTGAGAATAATACATCTATTGTTATTGTTTTGTATGTGTTTAGCAACACATCAGCTTCAATATAAATCTCATTTCATAATGCTATTTTTGTAGGTGAATTCTTTATTTGAACACACCCAGTATTGATGAATAAGCTTTCAGCCTACAACTTGATGCTAAATGAATGCTAACACAAGCTCTCTAGAAATATGGTAGAATCGACAAGAAAAGCCTTCAGTAAATGAACAGATAAACATGTGCATGTCCCTCATTATTGGTATTGAAGAGGGATTCTTACTCATCTTACTAGGGATAACTCATAATGTATATTGGCTGTATAGGCTACCCTTTTGAGCTAGTAATCTAAGGTCTCAGCTGAAAATCGAGGGTCTGGGCTAGTAGCCATGTCTTTGAATAGCTGTATTGTCAAGTTGGGTTGAATGTTAATGGCACAGAATGTGTATGAAAGATACAGCTTTCACGGATATCATGTATATTGAAAATATATAACACTCTAAATATAATATAACACATTATAATTTCACTATTAATATACTAATCTGATTGGGGTCACCAAGCAGATTCATGTATATAGTAGAAATATAACAGTTGGATGAACACCTGGTGTCATTGTTTGATATTGATTAATAAACACATGCTCTGTCATCGTATCTCTTGGGGTCAGTCACTGGATTGTCTGGTCCAGACAGTTGTTTACAGACCGTGTTATACAGCTGTAACTGAATTCAGCTTCCAACAAGAACCTAATCAAGATCTAGTCAGGATTGTACAATCGACTCCGCTTTTAACAGAGATTTCTTATGGGTGTGGAAAGGGTTTTATTGAGGACAGTGTCTTGTTTGATGAAGTCTTTGCTAGAGTGATATTTGTAATTTTAATTTTGATGAAAGTTGTGTATGTTTGCTAGTTTGAGGATTCCTCTATAAGTAAACCAGCCTGTTGAAATATTTACTTCTTTAGTGAGTTCTTCATTAGGGTGGAAGGTCTGAAGTAATTTGAAGAAGTCTCTCTGATGTCTAGTTTGATGAATTCTCTGTTAGTGTTCTAGTATGAAGTACTTACTAGTTTTTGGAATTCTCTATGAGGAGACTGGTCTGATGAATTATGTACTACTTTGATGAATCCTCTGTTTGGGTACTAGTATGAAGTATTTTTTTTATTTTGAGGAAGTTCCTAATAGTATATTTTTTAAAAGAAATATTTACTACTTTATGAATTCTGAAGTACTAGTTTGGAATGTTTACTAGTTTGAGGAAGTCTGTATAAGTATATTGATCTAATGAAACATTTGATAGAGTATTCATGAATTGCTACTTATTTGATGTTGTATTTATAATCTCAGACTTGCAGACACAGACCTTTTCTGCCTAAATGTGTAACCTTGTCCACAGAGCTCTAGTTCAGCAGACTCATTCAGTGCATAGCTGGCTATATCCAGCAGCCTGTCCCACAGTGGGACGATCAGATTGAGGCAAACTACAGTTGGACAACTACATCGCCTAGGCAGGTACTTTCCTGGCAGGTCTCTATCAATCAATTGTTCCCTGGATTGGGCAGGTGCCCAAGGCTGTAATCAGCTCATCATTAATTAATTAGCCTTTGTAAGGGATGTGATGGTTTGCTGTCGCAAGCTTTGATCGTGATGGTGGATTTACTGCTGTTTAGCTGTTCAGCTGTCTGAATGCTTGGATATTACTGTTTCAAGGTATGTTACTTTTGTTTTGTAGTTGGTTATAGTTGTAGTTGATGTCAGTGTGATATTGATGACAACTACAGGTTGAATATAGTGGAATTTCAGTGTACTAACTTTTGTGCCTAGTGTTTGTTGTTTATTCAGTGTTTCATGAACATTAAGCTTTGTTGAATGTTTGATATTTCAAGTTCAGATTTGATTGGACATTTTGAAAGTAGGCTTGGGACATAGGCTTCAGTTGATAGTGTATGGTACCTGAAAAGCACAAAATTTGTACAACCAGATCTTTTGTAGTTTAAATGTAGCTAAGAATTTTTAAGAGTTATTGTTAAAAAGGATTTAATGTACACGAGGAAAGGTAATCTGTAATTCAAATTTGAATTTGATCACTCTCAACTGATGTAAAATGTTTTCCTTATTGAAAGTAGGTCGCAACACAGGTGATAAGATGTAATAAATCTTTGTGCCATGAGCTATGATAACGACACTTCAAAAAATCATTGACAAATGGGTGTAGTTTAATTATGTGGTAAAACTGTTACAATGGCAAAGTGTGTTGTTTTCATTTATTGTGACCCAATTTGATATATTATAATACAAAACATCCTGTGTTGATCTTGTCAATCTACTGCACTGACCTGAGTTAAATAACCCTATGTGACCTTGACTTAAGTTTCTCTTTGTGTAGTCTATCAGTTAACAATATCAAGGGTTATTATATACATGCACTACACACAGGCTGTTTCATGTCGTGTGTTGTGTGGGCTCTCACTTGTAGGTTATATTGTGTACAAGATCAGTGTGAAATACTTATGTCTATGGTTTATATGGTGTACAATGACAGCACAAATGCAGGTTCCTCACCTTTGTGGATTACACTGTTTATGAAATAAGTGTAAACTGCTGGTTAACGCATGTCATTTGGTTACTCATGTGAATGAACCCCCCTTAAGTAATTAAGGTTAAGATAAGGTTATTGGTCAGTGACTATTAATGTCATGATGTCCGTCCTTAGGTTCAATGTTTGTAATACAGAGAAAACCACCCTATATGTATATATTTGGTGGAAGGGCTTGCAAATTATCATATATGATTGTTTCACTTAAGCACTAAGCTGTTTATAGTGTCCAGGTATTTGCAATGGAACTTAGGTTGTGTTGTATTTTCAATATTGTGACCATCAGGCCTCTCCTGCCTGTAATAACAATGATAACATATGTCCTTTACAGTAACCCTCAACTCAATGGGTCACTTCAGCCATGCAGTCACGTTGTGTTCCAGCTGCATGCTAGTTGTGTTTGTTAACTGGTTATGCCTAATCATCTTTTTGATGAAAACATAGATATATATTTGATATTTTCAGGATATATGTTGTAGTCTCCCTTATAGCTGTGGTTGTGTAAGTTTCATAAAAGTGCCTCCATATTGGCAAAGGCATAATAAGTCTTGCAGGATAACTCATAAGTGGAACATTTTACTCATGTGACTGAAGTCATCCAATGTGTTTTGTTTACATATACTTTCTGTGAACACTGTAGAAAAATATGACAAACTCATAAATAATTTCAGTTTGTCTGTTGCAGCCATTGACATCACCTGTTGTTTTCATACCAGTGTGTGGCATCAGCATTAGGTACTAGCTTAACATCAGTGCTTCTTGCTGTGCAGGTTGATCAGAAGTGTACAGAAACAAATGATTTCTTTTCTACTGTAATAAGCACTCAAGTATCACTTGGCAGTTCAGTGAGATGAATCCAGTATAATGACACCTGACATGTTAAACATAGTTCTTTAAGTTGTGTAGATGGCTATGTATGTGCTACTTGTAATTCCTGTAGGTATTGTTTTCATGAGGAATGTGTTGGTGGTGTCAATACATTACATTGAATATTGGATACATAATTGTGACATCAATAAATATGATAGCCTTTTAGGATGAATGAGATGAATGAGGAAATTGTTGTGCATTGATTATTTGATAATTATAGTGGCTAGTACATTTTTGTAACTAGTTTGAAGACCTGGCAGAGTTAAATTCATTTCAAAGTCCAAATGTTCAGATTAAATCAATGAATGATGCTTCAAGTCAGTATAGGAGAATAGGAGTCTTTTGAGCAGACTGATAAACATTACAGTGTACTGTTATTGTTGAAGTAACAATATGATATGCTATGTAGCATCATTGTATGAAGCCACTCAATGTCATACATCCATTTGCAGGGGTTGTATTATTGCAATTGATGAAGAAAATGAAAATAAGATCAGATTATGTTATAATATTATTCAAAAACTTGTGCCCAACATGCTATATAATTTTGAATTTGTTGTGTTAAAATCATCTGGTTTGAAAGAATATACCTTGGTGAGCTTGACCATAAGGCCGCACCTATATATAATTATATTGGGGAATTCATGAATGTAAATTTGCTTGTGTTTATAATATTATTCAAAATTTCTTGTGTTTATTTAGTGTGAGGTATATCTTAATTTGATATACCATGAGTGCCATGAACAGAGTTACTGCTATGTAAAGATGCAGTTAACTTGTCTATATACACAAACTTATGCTGTTGTTCTCTGTAGACTGTTTACATTCATTACATTATGATTATGTCCAGCCATTATCATGGTCTGTTCAGTTAAGACAACCTTGGCCCTTGTTATGAGAGTGGTCAGGTACGGACTTGGATAAATGTGAGCACCAGGGCAGGCATATGTTACTCATGTATTTACTTGATCTATATGACTGTGTTAGGTGAACATAGGTTGATGTCATGAGATGGACCACAGAAGTAAGTATTTAGTTTGGTAATTATAAACAATTGTATTGGTAATTTTTTAATGTTTAAGTTTAGTTTTTTTTCAGGTGAGAAATGTTGTCTGGGCTTTTTATGATAAGAGTAATATTGATAGGTTGTTGTACAATGGTGCTTCCAGAATTACCATGACAATGTCATAGAAGACAAACTGATGGGAAGCCTTTTCAAATAATAATCACAGATGTACCAGTACATTATGTGAAAATGTTGACTATGATAGACCTGGCTCTCAGCTTGTTAGTTCCTTTTATAAATCTAATGTAACAGCAACAGTGCCATATTGAGCATTGCCAAATAGAATCATACATACTTTGTCATCTCAGAAAACTGGATTTTGAAGGTTCCATGGATTAGAACTAGTTCCTGAAAACATACATGAAGGCAGTGACACTGACAACCAGGTACTTGAAACACAATTTATGGAAACAGACATTGTGAATAAGATATTGTCTGGTAAATGAAATACACAGGATTGAGAGATAGCCGTAATACTGTAAGTCTGTAATTAAGCTCTTGTCTGTGCCATGGGTATCATGGGATTACAGCATTCCTTCTTGTGACAGCAAAATTTCAACTATGAAATTTCTAAAGGTTCTGTACAGATTATGAGATTTCAGTGTAACTGTTAGTGACATTAGCACTACACATAACTCCAGGACTTTGGACTTGTCTTATACCTGTACAAACACAGTGCATTTAGCTTTTGCTGTTCTTGTACTTCATCATGGATGAATAACAGACACTAGAGTCCTCAAGGGATGAAACAAGGTGCAATTATTCAGTTGAAACTAAGGTGAAAATAGTCTATAGGAGAGCAGTTGCCAGGAGATTGTGTTAGGTAGATATAATGCTACTGCAAGCCAGTTGTAGGTCCTAGGTAGGATATGCTTTGTCTGGAATGTGTGTACAGTGTTACAATCCACAAATGTTGAATGGTGTTACGCAAACCGTAAATCCATAAATACTGTCACTGAGTACTACAAACAGAGTTTCCTATGTCAGATGTTGAAATATGTATAACCAGTGATCCATCACCTTGAATATAAGGCATGTTAAAAAGTTACATATTTCTTTTTGACCTTTAATTCATCATTATCATTAGTCAAACTGCCATGGAATACATGAGCCTTAATGCTAGACCCCATGTATGATTGCTATAAAGGACGTCTTTTGGTTTGGTCATGTATTACAGTTCATTATCTACTTCAAGGTGCAACAGTTGTATATTTGTCATATTTCCTAGTCTTCATTGTGAAAAGGAAAATATAGAATATGTAAAGACAATACTTTCATTCCATTATTTAGTGTTCCTATTTGGCAATGTGTTCATCACAATGTTTCTCAAGAGCATGCATACAGTTTTTCTTTTAAAAACCTTTACTATGTCCAGTTTGTTCTGTGTTTCATAATAAAGACTGGGGAAATTGACTTGTTGTTGAAAGGAGTGAGAAGTTATCCTCAGTATGTAAAACAAATCCCTGTTCAGAATGTCACATGTTGGTGTAACGTGTCTCCAGTGGATTTTACCATTGACCAGGTGTGAGAGAATTCTGTTCCGGTGAGATATTGACCCTGCCCCTGACGGAGACTGACCACCCCTACCAACTACTAACACACAGTTCATGCTCAGCTAAATACCAAACATTGAGGCTAAATTTATGTGGTGTGTGTGTACCAGTAATTTCTTCATTTTATCATGCTGGTCAACCACAAAACAATTTCCAACTGATAGCAAACATTGGGACTCTAATGTCAAAATATTTGGATTGAACATGACCATGTTTGAAATTTCTTCCAAAATAATGTTTTTAGTAGTAGTTTGATTTGTAAAATGGATGCTAGCATTAAGGTAACAGCTTGTAAATATGTCTGGAATGTATTTTGATCATTAGAGAAAATCTTGGGTTGTTGGCCAGGGTGTTAACTTGGTTATTCTTCTCCAAAGATACAAAGATCTCTGTACCATCCAGATCAAAAATGTCTAAAACACATTTTTGTATAATGGACTGATATTCAGCACATGTCAGTATATATATATATTTCCCATATGGGAATTTAACAGTTCTGAATTCATGTTGATATATATCCATTGTACATATATATATATATCAGAATAACTAATGAGATGGCTTGGTCAAGGTGACTTTTCCTTTACAGAACCAGTATAGAGGAAGAGCCTTTAATGCCTCATTT